GCTCAAACTTGTTAAGAAAATACAACAATCTTCAGTTAATTTACACATATCTTCTTCCTCGAAAAATTGTTGTTTTCATTACCAGCATAATCCCATAAAGAACGCATGATCGAGATGCCAATTAATTCTCACTTCGGGGAAACCTCCTCTACAAAACCACACACATACAGTTCGTAATAATTCATATTGCATATTTTAAATTATTCTTGACGCCAATGCAGATATCAGGAATTACAAAACAAAACGAAACAAACTAACAATATCCAACGCGACCCAAACGAACAAGCTGAATGAATGTCACTCAATACAGTCGAATGTTTGTGTAGATTGTGTTTTGTGCATAATTAAGTGTATATTAGTTTTTGGAATTATTTATATTTTATATTATATTTATCAGTTTTAGCAGCTTTCTCATTTATTGTATTGTGGGTGTCCATGTTATATATCTTCTGATCAAACTATGACTGTACGCTTTCAGACGAATGAACGTGACACGAGCTTACCTGCATTATGGTGGGTCAACTCTAAAGGTGACGAACTGAAATGGTCCTTTCAAGATCTAAAGTCTTACACTACGAGGTATGAATAGATTATTTGACACCTGAGTACGAACCAAACACCTGAAAACCCCAAACACATTACCGTTGAGAAATGTGGTCTCAAATATTTTCAGCCTAACGCCTGATTTGCGTGTAAAGCTGCTTTACTATTTGATAAAAAAAACATCATTATTTTAAGAGAAATAATAATCAAATGTTTTATTTTACAGAACTGCCAAGTTTCTACATAATGTTTGTGGAATAAGGAAAGGCGACCGAGTTATTGTAATTCTGCACCGTGTTCCTGAATGGTGGATGGTTTGTCTTGGCTGTAAACGTATTGGTATGTAATGTTAACGTCACACCAAAACAAACTTGTTTGTTTGTTTGTTAAAATCTGACGTTTACCGTCAATGCATAAATACACCTCAGAAAAGGTCCATGGTTAAATAAATTATCTGCATTATTTTGTGATTATTTGCTCATTTTAAAATCGCTGGTGTTAAATAATTTGGATAATTATCACGTTACTTGGCCATTATTTGTTTGTTATTCAAGTTTTATTGTCACTATTTTAATAATATTTGATCAACATTTTACCAGTGTTTCACCATTTGCTCACACTATTTTTTAACAGTACTTGCAAGCGCGGATTTAGGGGGAGGCGCGCCAGGCTCCTCTTCAGCCCGCAAAAACCCTTTTGGTCCAGAACTGTTACTATGTATATTTGTAGCAGCGGGGGCGAATACACTCATTGGATCGACCAGAAAACCGTCCGAGTCCATGCTCTGTGTTGCTTAGGGTAGGCAGGAAGGTTTTGTTATTTTTGTTGGTGAAAATTTAGTATTTGAAGGCTTTTCCACAATAACATATTGGGGTGGTGACCTTTGTTTTTTGTGCTGACGAGCATCCTATCCTGATTACTTCAACTACGACTGCCTGTTCAGACTGTTTGTATTTTAGCACATATACCTTCTGGACATTATCTGCAACGTTTTTATCCACGGACGTCATGCATGTCTTTCAGCAAATGATGTCTTACTGCCAATATTTTTGTAACATTCAAACATAAATGCCTTCTGATCGTTTCCTTCTTTTTTACATCCTGGGCGACAACACGCTCATAACACTTGCCATTTGAAAAAAATAATAACAGTTTTTTTATAAGATGAAACTTTGGGTTTTTAATACAGATGTCGTTGAATTTCAACATGGCATCGATATCTTATCATACACTATTGTACATTGTATGAATAATGGTAGCATTTTACTGAAGTTCTAGTATCATGATAGCAAGAAGTGATTTGTGAAGTCCCTTTAACACTTTAAATGTAGGCCTTCCAGCAGTTGATTGCATAAAACCAACCAACTAGCAAGGTGCGCTCATATTTGAATGGGTTAAAGTGGATTTCTTAAAACCGAAAAGTTTCAATGAGCTAGTTGGGTTTGATCTCATCAAAATATCCCGGAGTCCGGTCGGCCCTAAAAAGCTAACTTCATCCAAGTCACTGAATATAGCAATTATGTAAATGGACAGCTCAAAGATTGTACGTCATATATGCATGGGGCACTATAGTTATCAGTGAGAAGGTCATCTACAATATCCCCAACCCACTAAGCAATTCTGCTAAGGCAAACTGCATGATTGAACCAGATGAAGTTATGGGTAATTGACCAGGTGAATAAACAAGAGTGACAGTATTTGTGAAGGTATTATAGATGACATCATTCCAACAAGCTCCAATAAGGCTGAGTAAAGGGTCGAGGCAGGCCCTAAGCACATGTTTGTTTATCGTCTCTCTCATTAGCCTATATACCCAATGCTCATTGAGATGGCATTGCTCAGACCTATGCTATGCCGGAAAAAAGTCTCCAACAAATTCAACTAGTTTAAGAAGCAACCACTTGATTTCAATTGTACATCCACACATGCATTTGTGCTGCCACAGCAACTCTTGGATGTTGGTGTTGGATATGAGGAACACACTATCAAACTTTGGACATTCTACCCAGCTATAGTAATAGATGAGCAGTTACCAAAGCTTAGAATCCAGGTATTAGCCACCACACTAGTTTCAAAGGACTCATTCAAAGCTAAAACTCCAGGCATCTTTCAGAAAAATCAGCTAACAAGTGTACACTTTAGTGATGTGGTAAATTCACAACAGCCACAGTGTGCGACATCAGTGTGTGGTGTGCCTGTCCAGGATCACATCCCAGCAACATAACACTTAACAAGGACATCATCTACTTCCATGTCAACTACCAAGTTTGCTAGATAATATACGAGATTCAGACACTGTTACCCTAGAGTAAGGCCTGGGCACGTTTTAATAACCCATATGACAAACGAGGACATTAACGAATTTGTGATAAGTTTGAAGGAGCCTGGGGGCAAATCGGATGAGATACATAAATTTACTACACCCATATTGGTTATGGGTCTGTAGGTGAGTGGCATGCCGTTCTCAACGAAAATACTAAATACCACGCTGCATGTGGGTTTCCTTAGTCAGGATGGTAATCCTGCTCAAAATACACATCATGAAGATGAACATCTAAATGAAATATTTGGGCCATGGATTCTCATCACTTGCACTGCTCTCTTACCTAAAATCATTTCCTTGGCAATGTGGAATAGTCCAAATATATTTATGACAGTTACCAGTGTTTTTTTTAGAGATGAGACAATAGTGCCATTTATCTCAGGAAGAGGTGTAGGCACCTTGCCAGCTAGCTTGGCCTTGATGCGCCTAAGGCTCTAAAGATGTTTTTTGGCCCCCTTTTCTGACTGGTGGTTCCAGGTCAATCGCTGTGAGAACTAAATTAAAATCTTGCTTTAAGTCTCTTTTTTGGCGTGATATGTCTCTGTCAGACTTGATAGACCTGCAAGTTACTCTGAACTCCTCTGCCAGTATGAACACTTAAGACAGGTGGACTGTACAGTAAATACCATGACAGCTATTTTAACACAACGCTGTTTCCCCAGTGTTTTTGGAGTTGGTATTCATAAAATTATATCGCATCGTTTATGTTTAAAAATGCTTGATCAATTAATTATGACTATTTTAATGTGTGGATTTCGAAATTTGGGTATATGAATTAGTTAGTAATAATAGTTTAGAACAAATATATCTGCAGAAGGCGCAAGTTACTGGAATGGTTTAGTGTTGCCAGTTTTTGCTTGATTTCAATGCGATCTTCGCCGACTTGTATATCACTACAACATGAAAATTTTAAAACATTATATACATTGAACATCATAGTTTCTCCAATTTTGACGGATTGGCGTTTACAGGTGTTTCTGTAATGAAACATTCCATAATACTTGACACAATCCACAGGTGCAGTCGTATCTCCAGGCTCACCACAGCTCACTGCCAAAGACATCGCCTATAGACTAGATACATCCAAAGCAACGACCATAGTCACTGACAAAGAACATGCAGTGATGGCAGACCAGGTAAGTCACGTGATCTGCCAGAATCAGTGTCATTGGTGAGTAGCTCGTGTAAGTCACGCGAACACGATCAGCCAATGAAAACGACATTTCTAGCAAATTCCAGGAATTGACTAACATCATTTTCAATAATAACAACTTTAATTTCTGATTTTTTCTGGGTAGTATAAAAACAAAGACGGTATTCTAAAGAACAAAATATTTGTTTCAGACGATAAAATGGAAAGGTAAGAGATGATCCCTCAAAATGGCTGAAGTACTTGTTTTTGTTTTTAAGGACAGACAGGTAATTGTTGATCCAGGTCCAGTTGTATGTAAATGAGCTCAAGAAACTGCCAAAATTGGTTATTTTCACTCAAATGGCTCCTTCAAACACTGTATGCTCATTTTTGCTGCGCGATTTGGATGGATTTATGTCTGGTTTGTTGATGTATTACCAGTTGGTTGTGAAAAACAAAGTTTACTGCCTGAACAAGGACCATAAACAATATCAATGCCACAACAGTTATAAATTTGTCTGTGGCTATTTTTGCTTTTGTTCCTTAATGTGTCCTTCCAAACGTCTTCATGCATAGTTAACTACATTGAATACTCCGTGACGTCATTTTATTTGCATAAAGATAATTCAAAACACACTGACACGTGATTGCTTGCTTTCAGAGATGGGTGGTTGTCATTTGACAAATTATACAAGAATTCAGACGATGATTTTGAGGTAAAAAATGTATACTAAACTACTTTTAATATCTATACTATATTTAAGAGTTTAACTAGCTAGTTATATATATATATATATATATAGGGAGAGGTCATTGAAAATGTAATACATGTTGCTTTGTACGCGGGGGACTACTAGGACATGCATTGTGTGGATGACTTTATCCAGTTGACTATTATATATGATAGAGGAACTGGACCACTTCTCTTATTTCTAGAACCTGTCCCACTCCTTTCTGCAAGCGACATAAGCACCATTGGGTCTCCTTCTCCATGGGGGAACGTGTGCAGGCAGGTCAAGCTTACTTTTCATTTCGATAAGATCAGAGTCCCAGCCCTATTTCCGCCAAAATGTGAAGGCTTTGTGCATTGCCAATATATCTATATATAGTTATGAATGCAACAACCTGTCAGCTGAATTGACTGGTCGTAGTTAAATGTGCTGGTGGTCACCCTTAGGTCATTGGTCATTGGTTTATATGCATTATGTTTCGTGAGCTTTTGGGCGGATTTTGTTATTTGTTCTGGCAAATCAATTTTATTTGAATACTTTTAGAGACGAGAGATTTGGCCGACCCCCCCAAAAAAACACACACACATATTTACTCTTAGGAAGCTGAAACATAAACATATTCACAAGGAGACATTTCTAAAGACGATGTGAGATTTAATCCTGTGCAAGGTATGTGAAAAGAGTTGGCCTTCTGTACTTTTGTAAAGACTGTGGTGTGGGGTATGCTCATTTGTCTAAATGGCAATAAGCAAGTGAAAAAAAAGAGTTTCAGCATCTGAGCACAATAGATATTTTCATATTCGAGAAATGATAAAATAAGAACATAGTAAATACATCGACCAGATGTTAGCTTAACACACACATTAGAGCCAGTCCAGGGTGTCATTTAAAGCATCCTGGATGAACTAATCACTGATATGGAATATGTCGACTCGTAATGCTACAGAGCGAAAACGGATAGCAATGTGGAGTACACAGATCTTGTGTTCCGTTGCAGGCTCAGGAGATTGTCCTACAAGCTCATGGGATCAATGGGCACTAGATATGGCTTGCCCCACTATCCAGGCGCTACGCTCAAGAAATGTACTAGTTTCCACCAACTACGGATAGGTCATTTTTGTACTAAAAAAACTCTCACGTTCGATAGCGGCAAGCTTTCAGATTAGGTGATATTAAGAATACGCTTGACACGTAATGCAATTTTTAATATGTTATTTTGTTTTCTTCTTAAAGTCTATACAAACAAAACACCATGATCACTCCATGATATATTTTACAAGTGGAACTACAGGAAAACCCAAAATGGCCTTGCATACACATACAAGTTGGGGTATTGGCCATTACGTCACTGGAAAGTAAGTTATGACACACAAACAGGATAGGAATTACTTGTTATTGCCTTGTGTAATTTAAGGGTGATTCTACACCTACAAATGTTATCAATGTAAAGTCTTGTTCGTTTTGACTGGTCTCAATTGCAATGCAATTACTAATATAGCGTAAAGAAATAAGAACACTATTTTTGCTATTTAAACCTTGTTTTGTCTCGTATTTTAAACACGACCAGACATTGGCTAAGTTTAACAAGTAAAGACGTGTTCTGGACTTTATCCGACACTGGATGGGCGTTGGGGGCGTATGGATATTTATTCTCTCCATGGATTATGGGCGCATGTGTATTTGTTTACCATGAACCACGATTTGACCCTGTACAGACACTGAAGGTAATTATATGACGTAATAACTAGTTACGTAATAGATCCGACCAGTCACCTATACAAACCCACCCTCGTCGAAATATACACTGATAAATGTCGCCGTTCATATAGTTGGAATAAATGTAACAAAATGTGTTTCGTGTCTCATAGTGGTCGTATCGTTGTACATACACACACGGGTTTATTTACACTTCCAGATCAAGCTCATTCCTGTATGTAAAGACTCTTAGTTGTCAATATTTGAAGGATTAACATTTGCATACATGCAAGGTGTTGAGAAGCCATCCATTCACCATTGAATTTCTGTTTTCCTTCCAGGTATTAAGTAGCCATCCAATCACAGTGTTCTTAGCTGGACCCACGATATATCGTATGATGTTACTTAACAGCCCCGAACAGTATAAATTTCCGTATTTGCGGAGATGTGTCAGTGGGGGAGAGTCTGTGGTAGGTACAAAATACAATGTTACGTCATCATTATATAGCGATTTTATTAAGCCTTTAAGCAATTCGAGTACTAGTAAATGGCGTCAAGATCGATCAGTGAAGCCTGACCCAGCTTTTGGGTCTTTTTTGGTGCATTGTTATGCAAAACTTAGTTTTTCTAAAACTGCAAATTAAACAGTCTGAATGTTAAAAGCATGCTATCTTCAGCCCGGATGTACTTATGTGTTCTCGTGTTTTTTGTTCTCTAGAACCCAGACCTCGTTCTTTCTTGGAAAAAAGCAACTGGGTGCAGTGTATACGAAGGCTGGGGACAAACAGAAACGGTAAGTTCACATTAAGTGTACAAGTTATTTTTCTTTTGCTCAGTCAGAGACTGATACCCACTGTTATTATATATATGTTGCATGTAACTATCTAAACAGCACAGTCAGCTGGCGCACACGTGATAATAAAATAAATACGATATTTACTATATGGGGGCCGCCATCTTGAATGACGCATAAAACTAAATAAGAGACAAGTTGTGAAACGCGTTTTTCAGATTCCTACAAATCAGGACAAAAATACCAATCTTTCACAAAAATACGGTCCGTTGGGGTCATATTAAGCCAACCGATAACAAAATTCGGCCTAATTCGTCGTTTTTGTGTGGAAAAATCCCTTGCATACGAACACCTAATTACGCGAAGAACCTTGAACACTTTCCTGGGGGTATTTAAAACTAAAAATTGGCATTCCAGCTCAGCAGCCAATCAGCGACGGCCTAACGCTTAGATGACAATTTCGGTTTCAAATACCCCGGCTTAGTGTTGACTTCTCCCTCCACTGGACACCAACTAACTATTTAAGTTGATTTACATACAAAGCAGAGCTTGCAACATGATAGCTATTCATAAAGGGTGTTTTTTTTTACTTTTCATATAATACAGTAGTCACACAATGAGGCAGTTCATATTTGTCTCAGTGAATCATTAATTTTTGACAGACACCTGTACAAAGTACTTGGACAAAAGCCAGCTAAGATTTTGTATTATCTTGCATGTTTTATGAATCTATTCACGTCTAAATGCAACACTTTTTTTTTTTTGCAATGAGGCATTTGTTTTTATACTAAAATATCTGAATTACTTTGAATAAAGCTGGAAATTATGTCCCTTAAAATAATTAAACAAATAAGGCACAAATGTTTTTGTAAGATATTTACATCTTTAAAGGACATTCGGTAGACTGATTCCCCACTGTTAGTTCAACCCCAAAACTTTTTTGTATTCAAAATTAATTATGACAATGTATATTTATATTGAAACAAACTATGTTAAAGGGAATTATATTATATAACAAAGGGCAAGGTCACCAGAGTTCAACTATGTTTATTGCCAGGTATTGTTGCTTGGAACGTTTCCTGGCGTAAAACAGCGTCTCGGGTGGATTGGAAAAGCTGTGCCAGGATTTGATATTAGAATTGTGGATGAAAATGGCGTAGAACAACCAAATGGTACTGAGGGAATTATTGGAGTCAAAGTTTTCCCAGATAGACCAGTTGGACTCTTTGCTGGATATCTGGTAAGATGACAATCTTCAATAGTGTTGTATTCCATCAACACTATATAGACACTTGCTTAGAATGTCTCGTTCGAAATTGTAGATTATTGTTTTTATGTATTTCTTATGTTCAGGAGATGTACTGCAATGACAAACTGTTGTGTCTGATGTTGAAATTGATGTTGAAACTGAAACCAGCAATGGATTATGAACGTGTAAAAGCGGGAGAGTCGTCACCTGTGCACGCGCGGGAATTGAGTCCCAAGCGACGATAAAAACAAACGCTAAGAACGCAAAGACTCATGGGTAGACTCTTGTTTGTAAACAATGACACGCTATGGCCACCTGACGCATGCGTAGGTGACGACTCCCACGATTTAAAAGATTTTTGAGTTGCTTACCCGTTGTTTATATTTTGAAGAATGTTTTTGGGTTACAACCAGAAAATAAAAAGTGTCTATTTCAATTCTATTTTGAAGTCCATGATATAGTAACTGGTTGCGGTGATAGATTATTAGATTTCTTTGAGGATTATTTATTATAGCAATTTTGTAAAATCTGGAAATTTGTAATCAAACGTGAACTCAAATGTAATGTCTGTGCAGAATGTCAGACATGTGACTGAAAACCTGATGAGACTTCAATTGTTATGGGGGGGGGGGGCAATGGGGGTAGCAGGTACAGTTTTACGGGAAATAAAAAACGGCTTTTTACAATTTACAAGGAAAAAAAGACGTTTTTACAGTTTACAGTGAAAAATGAATTTTGCAGTAAATTGTGTCATCTAGTCGTTTTACAGTTTCGAAAATGTAATTTCCCTGGATTATTCTTTACGACTTTTTTATTTCGATGTAAATTCTTGTATGTACCGAGAAAAATTACACATTTTTACAGTGTACGAAAAAAATATTTGATTGATTACGTTACGTCTAGCCGGTGATTACAGAATTACGGAATTTATTTTTTCAATTTACATTGTACAAACAAACAAATATTACAATTACGTTGAACGAAAATAACCCTTGCCCCCCTCTGTTTTGGCAATAAATTTTTTGCCATTCATCGTAATATGTGTATGTCATTATCGATCGATCATATTGGTGTATCGATCTGGTCTTGCCATAAATCTATATAACACCTATTTCATTTCAGGATAACGAAGCCAGAAACAAGGCTGCTTTCTGTGGTGATTACTATCTCACTGGTGACAGAGGTATAAAAGATGACGAAGGTTATTTCCGGTTTATCTCACGTGATGATGACATCATTTCCTCAGCAGGGTGGGTACTCACATGAATGTGCTAAACTACATACTAGTACTTCATAGAAGAGGTTAAAGACGTAGACGTTAATATGTCAATTATCTGTCTAAGCATTGTACCAGTATCATGGACTTTATAAGTTCTGAAAAAAAAAAATGTGTGAACAACTGATGCTCCGAAACAACAATTTATATTATCTTTTCTAAAATACACGAATGCGTCTTCCTTCACATTGTAAACACGACATATCGGTATTGAAAGTTTTTGTTATGGTATCAACGAAATTAATATAATGTCTAAAACCTTGTTCTTATTTGTAGCTATCGTATTGGTCCCACTGAGGTGGAGAACGCCCTCTTTGAGCATCCAGCTGTCGCTGAATCAGCAGCTGTCAGTAGCCCGGATGAAGTCAGAGGAGGGGTAAATTCAACAATTCACTAAAATCGTACATCGCATTTGGACTTTTTAACATCAATTGCTTTCAGCGTTCAACGTACAGAGGCTATTACAGTACCACAGGCATTTTGGGATTACCTTGAAGTAGACAATTTGTGGACGTGGACTTCTTTCGGTTCAAATTTCCGTTCAAATCAGTCTGAAACCTTGAAATTATAGTCAGTCAGTGTGACACAAATACACGCAACAACATGCACGTTAACAATAACGAAGCTCTATTTTAATTCTAGGTTGTCAAAGCATTTGTTGTACTCAAAGAAGAATATAAAGACCACGATAAAGATGACCTGATAAAAGAATTACAGGAACATACAAAGAAAATCACTGCGCCGTATAAATATCCACGAAAGGTAAATTCTACATACATGCCATTTGTTGAATCTATTTTCTTTCTAGTTGAATTTGCTGACTGAATAAATAAATAAAATATAACGGAAATTAAATAACATAACAATGTCATACTTCCACTGTAAATGGAAGGAACATAAACACCAACAAATTGAATTAGAAATTGTAAGGTACCACGTACTCTAGATACTATTATAAAATCAATTGTATAATATTGTCTTTATATGACATAATCTTTTATCATAATAATACAAATATATCATTACTGAGATTGTTTTAACATATTCATCACATTTGATTTTTTGTAGATCGAATTTATTGAAGAACTTCCTAAAACTGTTAGCAACAAAATACAACGTTTCACTCTCCGTAATCAAGAGTGGAATAAAGAATGAACTGAGATTTACTGTGATCTAGCGAACAATATTCTAAGGACAATACAGCTGTGCTGCAAGCAACGTTTCGTCAATTGGCGACAGTGTTCGAACACGAGGTGTATGCAACATATTATAAACCAAAGTGTTGATAACATGTGAACTTAGTGCGTAGGTTCAGAAAATAGAGGTATTATATATATATCGTGTTTTTTTCAGAGAATGAAAACAAACAAATAGTCTAACAAACTATAACCGTTATTATCGTCTAATGTACTTAAAGCGGGGAGTCGTCGCCTGCGCATGCGTCAGATGGCCATAGTGTGTCATTGTTTACAAACAAGCGTCTACCCATGAGCCTTTGCGTTTTTAGCGTGTGTTATCGTCGCTTGGGACTTAATTCCCGCGCGTGCGCAGGTGACGACTCTCCCGCTTTAAGTAAATTACGTCATGTGTAATATGATCTCTATAGTAAACCTATTGGTCGGTTTATGTTACCAATAATAGACGATGTAAACATGGAATCCAACTAAAATAAAGGCATTGAAGACTATAGTTTATTCATTTGTATCACATATTTGTAAAACATGTTTTAGGATAATTATTATTTTACGCAAATATCAACTAGAATCTGAAAAGGCTATTTTAATTCAGGTTCACATATTAATTAAGATTGAGTTGTAGTTCATAAAACGTATGCAAAAATACACATATTAATACAGTTCTTATAATCAAATTAAAAGAGAAATGTTTTGGAAAATTCTAATCTTACTCATAAAAGTGTAAATTACGTACGTAATAATATGATATAGGGCTATTAAAATTGTTTTACAAAAATTAGATTCTTCTATTATATGTAAAGGAATAAATAAACGTTATTTTAGAATAATGTATATTTTTTATGTTTGAAAAAGTACTTTGAATTGTTGTTTAACAAGAATTTGTATGCGTAATATTTCTAATGTTTTTTCGAATGGGGTTTCATTATTTGGGCTCATCGTACTTGACATTAAATTTCCCTGGCCTGTGTTCAACCTTTGAAATTCTAAGGTCACACATTCCGCATCATGTCACGTGGTAAAAGTGTGAATTATTGAATACACTTGGTAATCTCTTGTTGACTAAGCCATGTACGAACATGCTGATTAGTGAAAGATATTTTGAAAACCAAATGTCTTTAATATTGGTGTCAGTGACACTCTTCAGTCACTGAATTCGGTAATACGCAAACATTTTTGTTGGATTACGGATAAATCGCAAACATTAAGAATACTTTATCTTCAATTGTTTTTCTACTTCAAAAAGTACATTTTTCAGTTTATGGTGTTTTAGGTGTTCTAACAGAATATTAACCGTAGCATGGCCTTCACTATTTTCTAACCAGAGCAAAAGCATTTGGTACTTCTGTTCCATTAATCTTCCATAATCATGCACAATACTTTCAAGGTCTCTCTCCATTATTGCGAGTCTGTCGCGGGCGAAGAATTTCCACTCATCCGCAGGCAGTTCTCTTGCAACTACAGATATCAAAGCTTTCATTTCTGTAAGTAAATAAACACTGAGAAGTTATCTTTCATTGTCAATTACTTAATGAATACGATAGAGAGGATAATATAAGGATTTACAAGATGTAAATGAATATTCCATACCCGGTGTATGTTCTTTTGATACTGGAACATTTTTTGGTATTCTCTCTTTACTCTGTATAACATAAATGTATAAATAAGTTGAGTACAATCATTAAAATTGTGTATCTGTTAATATTTAAGAAGACAATAATTAACTTCTTACCACTATTTGACCTTCGGGTTTTTGTATGACAAACTGTAATTCTGCAAGAATTTCTTTACCAGTCTGTCCGGCTGTTGGTGTAGTATCTTTGTAAAATTCTACGGAGCGAGTATACTTTCCCATAGCTGTCCAGGTAAACACTTCCGGTATGGGTTCTACTTCCACGGTCCAATGCGTGTTCAAAGATGCGTAGTAGGGACAATTGTCAATCTTTGTTTTGCGCCGGCAATCATCCGGGAGTTGTATGTAGACGCGTTCACTGTCTTTCATCTGTATATCAAGTGAATAATGCATGCCATTGAGTTTACCAAAACCATTATTAGTGAACTCTTCTATTCGTTGTTGTAGCATACTTTTTTCTACGAGAGCAACCAACAACTGCTTTGGGTCAGAGACATTTTGCAGAAGGAGTATGTTCATCAGTGTGATACCTTGTTGCAGTTTGTCGACGACTTGGTTACAATAATCTTCGGCACTCTTCTCTAATCCACTGCGCATGCGCATACTTGTATGGCTAAACATAGAACATAAAGTGAATATAAAAAAATAGTGTCAATAATATTTTAAACAAATACATATCACTTTATCCTAGAACACAGAACAATAGACAACATTACAAGGTAAGATGGCTGCATAACATATTACAATGCTATGCAGCGATCTTATCTTGTGGGACTGCTGCGAACCAGGGCGCCACCTACGCCAACTTGTCAGGCTACATACACGCACGTGCAATGGAAATTATAATCCGCTATGCCACGAAATGTGTAGATTTCACCGACAGTTTTGGATTTAAAACTAACAAACATACACATGTTATTGTAATCTGAATTTAAATATATTCCCATTAAAAACAGCTTTGTTACTTTATCATGTTGAACGTTGCAATCATGACATTGTGCATTTGATGAAGAAAAGCATAAAATAGCATTTTAAGCGTGCACAGGTGACGACTCTCCCGCTTTAATAATTTTTAGGTATAAGTTAGATCACGGTCCGAGGTGACTATGAGAATTTGAACGAGGGCCGTAGACCCGAGTTCTAATTCTCATAGGCACCGAGTGGCGTGATCTAACCGACTAAGCACTGGCCAATCAGTCCGTGAAAAGATTTGTATTAGCCAATCAAATGATGACATTTTGACAGCAATCAAACTTGTGAAATGACATTTTAGTACATTATGTTGGCCAATGATGGCGTACGTGCTGTCAGTAGTGTCAGTTGAATCGAGCGTAAATAAATGGATACTTTGTATCTGATCTTGGCGTTATAAATAAATTGTGATGAAAATTCTTTGTTTTCTTGCGTTTTTTCAGCCGTGATCTAAGTGAATTCGTCGTGAAATAGAACCACACTTTATCGCGATGTTATTTCAGCTTAATTTCTCGCGCCCGCCGATAACAAATGTATTTTTATCTTCATTTTTTCGGCCCGCCGCACAAAAAACCCAAGTAGCATTTTCGTGGGAGTATCATAATCAAAGTACCGGAGTCCCGCGCAGATGAGAAACAGGGTTATACATGGAATAAGATTTTATTTCATTTTTTCTATCCGATCAATTATCTCACTTACAATTCTTTGAGAATCACACAAATCTAATGGAAAAAAAGAATTAATTATTTTTTTACCGCTCTCCTAAAAAAAATTGCCTTATAAAAACTCAAGAAACAAGGAATAAAAAAAAGTCTGGCCTTACCTGACTAAATTGTTTGTCTGAATGGAAATACTTGTACTTGTTCGATTTATACATTCCGTTTCATCGGTGACATCTTGCCAGATACCTTTGTTTTCTTTATCGGCAATCAATTTCAGTGTTGAATCCTGTTGTATTTCAGCAGGTAATGTCATTGTCAATGATATTGGGCCACAAACAGCAGTATTACTATTTTGTTTGGTGCTCACAAAGACGACTGGTCCAAAAGATATGTCAGGTTCCTCTGTTGAGTCGTCTGATTTACAGACATTATCTACGAGTGCTTGATTCGGTGTATGAACCTTGAAGAAAAAAAAATATCGATGACACTTTGTACGTATAATGTGACATTGACGTCACACGTCACATATCATTCATTGCCTAATGCTAAGTATGTTTGCAGCAACATAATGAATAACGTTACACGCTTTCACTTACAATTAATAATAACAAGAATTTCGTAGTTTAAGTATATTATTTAATAGCAAGAAACGCATTTGTAAACAGTCTTGGGTACGTTTTTTTATTTTTACTATATATTTTGTAATTGTTTTTATTATTTTGACGTACCTATTATTTTGTACTACTTTAACTATCGCCACATACATCAACGCATATTAGTATATAACGAGATTTCAACGAGATCCCATTTGATTGGTTTAGTCAACCAATCATAGCGCGCCTGGTGACGTCGCCAATCACAAACACAATCAAATAAAATGTCGGGTTCTATCATGTTAGTGATTGAAACTATCGGGAAAAACACGGCATTCGGTAAGTTTGTCATTGTTAAATGCAACAAACATCATCTATGATTTCCATGATAATAATGTGGCTTAAATGACTCCAGTTTAGGTCGTTACTTTGTGTGGTTATTGAGGAAGTGACGATTTGTTCCCACCGGTTCGATCGAACACCGGTAACGTTTTGCGCTCTTTTTTCCTTGGTGATGTGTTGTTGATGGTCGGGCCAAAATCTTCTACGGTGCTGAAACCGTAGCTGTAAATATTCATCAAAATGTATCAACATAATGTAACCGTTATACAACTTAAATCTGTTGCGGTCAAATCAGTTAGAGATTTGAATGTTGTATTGTTTACTATAGCTGTTTAGTGTTCTAATCATTATGATTTACTAAAAACGCAAAGGCTTATGGGTAGACGCTTGTTTGTAAGCAATGACACGCTATGGCCATCTGACACACGCGCAGGTGACGACTCACCCGCTTTAAACGAACCTTGGCTGGCGAAAATGCAGCAGGAAGTGTACACATTTGTTGGAAATAAACAAAAATATTCAATGTAATGAGAATAATTGTAAAATGCTGTGGAATCTCTTTCGTTAATAAAACATATGATTTTATATAAATGGTTTATGAAAGTTAATTTATTGAGTTGTACATGAAATGGTGGGCAAACAACAATCTACATTGTCCGTAGAGTATTGCTACACTGAAAAGTATGAATTGCCAAAAATGTGACACTAGAGCGAGAAACTGACACTTTTTTCGCAACTTATTTAAAATTGATATAATTGATATTTGTCGACGTGGTGGTCTAGAATTTTGAAATAAAATCTGTAAACATAAAACAGTGTAATGCCGAGAATTCAAATTCTCAATGACAAATGGTGGGAATTATCAAAGGTCAAGACAAATTTGTGTAAAAATGTATCTACATGGCAGTAACAAATTATGATATGATATGATATGATATGATATGATATGATATGATATGATATGATATGATATGATATGATATGATATGATATGATATGATATGATATGATATGATATGATATGATATGATATGATATGATATGATATGATATGATATGATATGATATGATATGATATGATATGATATGATATGATA